CAAGTGTGAGGGCATTTTAAAGCCTGGGAGATTTTCTCAATTATATCTTCTAACTCTTCTATCTTTCAATATTTTGCTATCAAATATTTTAAATATCTGCTACTTAACCATTTTCATAGCATCCTATTCATGTTTTATAGATGTACGTTCTCTTTATTTCTTTGAAGATATTAATTATAGTTTGTCTTTGTGTGTATTCAAAGGTATTCTTATTTGTGCATTTTCTATTTTCCTCCAGTTGCCTTTATTGTGTTTGATTTGGTTTCTGTTTTGCATCTAAGCTTTTAAGCTTTATAAGCTATCTTCTAAATGTGCTTCAAATATTTGCCTATCTTTTGCTATGTGTTGATATTTAAGAATGAGGAACAGTAAAGCTTATTGGAAATTATGCAGAAAATGCTTATCAGCAGTTAAGATCAAAGAAGAGTGATTGGCTGGAGTCCTGGACATTTTACAGGAAGATCTCTAAATGTCATTATAAATAGCTCTTTTATTTCTGGGAGTGGTCAGCGTTTCCAGAAAATAATCTCTCAGTTGAATATATCCTATTGAATGTCTTTCCATTACCTGAAATTATATTACAGTATTATTTCTGACTTAACCAAAGCATGGAACCTTTCCTAATCACACATCCACCACTACTATTATTTTCTGAGATTCTAAAGCTCAACACCTGGAGGTTATTTCTATTTTATAATCTATGCACACACTTTATGACATGCAGATATTCTGATTCTTCTTGTTACTGGCTCAACATTTTCACTTATTCCAATTTCTACTCTGATTTAGTCTCACATTACCTTATTCCAACTACCTTACTCATCATAGTAAAGGCAGTTTCTCATCTTTCAAGTCTGTACTACAAATAGCTACTAGAAAAAAAAAATCATTCTGCAAACATCTCCTTTTATTATAATTATCCAAATTTGAAAACAAATGCTACACAATCAAATTCTGCTTTGCTTTCAAGGTTTTCCCCACTAGTTCATCCATCTCTTATGAAGCTTCTTTCCTTCAGTTAAATATAATTTGTTTTCTGTGTTCAACCAATGCATGGCTATTATTACTCCCTTCCTTTTCTGTCTGAACTTCTGGGTATCTACTCTCTGTCAAAATATCACAAAACTCTCACTATCTCCAGGGATTTTCTCAAGTTAGATAGATGACTATTCATATCTTCAGTTAGACTGAATATTTCTTTAATGATTCACTTTTGTACCATTTTTTTTGTCAGCTGGTGGCTCATCTGTAAATACAGAGCACCTAGTAAATGTCCTACTAGTACCTTCCATTCAATAAGCATAATAAATAAAATTAAGCACATCAGAATAATTCTTGTTTTACACTGCTGTATATGATATTTTATGTATTTTACATTATTACTGTACAGTTTTAAAAATATTTTTATCTGCCTTCATTATTGTCTCTTCTGTATAAACAGTAAACTCCATTGTGGAGAATGTCTCTGGCTCTTTTTGTTTTAACCTGCATTGTATCATGTATATTATTTGATACATAGCATATTAGCAATTCATTCTTTTTTCATCTCAGTGACTCTATATGTTAATTATTTAGATTTTCAGACATCAGACTAAAGAGATTGGAAGTTCCACAAAGTACTATAAAGTAGCTACACATTTAATTTCCTAGAAATTGTACCTGTATTAAAAGATCTTAATTGGCATTCTGACTTGCATGGTTTGTAAGGATTAAATTTACCAATCCTCTGTACACTGAATGCAGTGAAGTATACCATTTAATGACTGAGGCTGCTGCTCAGAAATCCTCTGTTTACAACTCCCAGTATCCTAAATTTTACTTGTTGAGTAAGTCACAGACATAAGATACGTGTATCAGCACAGACCTGTCTTGCATTATAGCATGTTAGGACTTGTGAGAAATTGTAGTGATTATGCTGTCCACATCTTCATTTTGGACATGAGGAACACTGAGGCCCAAGCTCTTGTGGCAAGAGAACTCAGCAGAAGCTGGTTCTCTCAACTTTTCCTGTGATACTAGCTTGCCTCTACCTTGCTCAAATGCTATAATAAAATAGAATGTCACTTTTTTTTGCTGTATAAAAATCTTAGTAAGAAGAGATACAAAGTGCATAGCAGGCTTTCCTTTGGGCTTCTGGTAAGTAATGAAAGGAATTATAGATGGATTCACACCCTGGACTTGAGTTGCTTTGCTACTTAAAATATGAATATAGTCGTGGGGAAGCATGTGTATTACAAGCATGTAATGATTGGAGATGTTCTAAGTTATGGTAGCCATGGAAAACAAACAAAAAATATTCTTTTGTCAACAATAAATGAAAGTTTTCTCGGTAGAGCTATATATTGTGATTAATATTTTAACTTGGTAAACATAAAATTTTCCAATTTTGATTTTTTCTTTTCAGCTACATGTGGTCATTTGAAAAAGCTCACCTCAGCATGGTTCAGATAATCACAGGACAACTTGTTGAGTCCTTTGATGAAGAATTTAGAACTCTCTATGCCAGATCATGTGTCCCCATTTCATTCGCACAGGAAGAATCAGCAAGGGTGAAACAGAGCAAAGCTCTCTGGGAGAATGGAACTTACTACTACCAGCGCTCAGTTTCTTCATTAGCTTCTGTTTCCAGCCAAAGAAACCTTATTGGGAGACAAGACAAAATTCATAAACTAGATCCTAATTACTTCAAAAACAGAGGGATATATACTCGAAATGAACATGACAAATATAACATAAGAAATCATGGATACAAACCTCATTTTGCTCCAAACTTTAATGGTCCAAATACAATCCGTCCATATCAACCCAGTCAGATAAGTGAAAATTGGAAGAGGCATAGTTATGCTGGGGAACAGCCAGAAACAGCACCATACCAACTGTTGAACAGGGCTCTGAATCGACCCATCAATCCTCCCGGTAATTGGAAAAAGCCTTCAGATAGTCTTAGTGTGGCATCCTCATCACGGGGAGGCTATGCAAGCCACCAAAACACACCTGCCCAGAGTTTTGCCAATCGGCTTGCCCAGAGGAAAACAACACAACTTGCAGAAAGGAATTCAAATATGCGGAGGTCTTTTAATGGGACAGATAATCATATTCGCTTTTTGCAACAGCGAATGCCAACCTTTGAAAATACCACAAAATCGTTCTTACGTAACTGGAGAATTGAATCCTACTTAAATGATCATTCAGAAGCTGCACCTGATTCAAATGGATCGGCTCTAGGTGACCGGTTTGAGAGCTATGATAGTTCTGAGAATTTGAAAGCCAATGCTCTTTATACACATTCACGGCTTCGCTCCTCTTTTGTGTTTAAACCAACTTTACCTGAGCAGCAGGAAGTTAACAGTTGTACCGATGGCTCCTCCAATTCAACTATCATTGGTTCCCAGGGGAGTGACACACCTAAAGAGGTCCCAGACACCCCTACGAGTGAAGAGCATTTGACAGACAAACCGTTGCCAGAATCAATCCCCAAGCTGCCATCACAATCGGAGACACCAAAAATGCACACCTTGCAGGTTCCCGAAGAACACGCAGCAGTCTTAAAGCAAACCACCAGTGGCCATACAGAGTCAAACAACTATCTGTATACAAATTTGTGTGTAAATAAGCAGACAGAAAATCTAAAAAATCAACAAAATGAGAATCTACTTAAAAGGAGAAGTTTCCCACTCTTTGACCACTCAAAAACCAATTTAGATCATGGGAATAGTAAGCATTATGTATATAGTACACTTACCAGAAATCGAATTAGACAACCAGAAAAACCCAAAGAAGATTTGCTGAAAAGTTCTAAAAGCATGCACAATGTGACCAATAGCGAGGAAGAGGAGGAGGTTATCAAGAGGGACCCTCCGAGTGGCACTACTACCAAGTCAGTTTCCATTGCTGCTTTGCTTGATGTGAATAAAGAGGAACCTAACAAAGAACTCACTTCAAAGAAGGAAATTAAGGGTTCCCCGAGCTTTTTGAAAAAGGGGTCTCAGAAATTAAGGTCATTACTTAGCCTTACTCCAGAAAAGAAAGAAAATCTGTCCAAAAATAAAGGATCTGCATTTTACAGAATGTGTAGTAGTTCTGACACTTTAGTTTCTGAGACTGAAGAAAATCCAAAACCAAAAAAGTCAGAGCCAAAAGTTGATTCATCTCCTAGGAGAAAACGTTCTTCCTCATCAAACTCTCAAAGCAGCATTCACAAGAGTAAGGAAGATGTAGCAGTTAGCTCATCCCAGGGGATAAATTCTCCATCTGATGAAAGTAATAGAATAATACCTTCTCCAAGTCCAGTTGAAAGGAAATTCTTGGAAAGGGCAGGGGATGCCTCTGCCCCAAGATTTAACACCGAACAAATCCAATACCGAGATTCGAAGGAGTTTAATGCAGTTGGTGCTCCTGAAAGAAAACCAGTTTCTTCTCCAAGATCAAAGCCCAATGAGCTTCTAAGATCTCAGTCAACTGACCGGCGCATTTATAGTCGTTTTGAGCCATTTTGTAAGATCGAGAACTCTATTCACCCAGTGAGCAACATGCCAAATACCAGTATACACCGCCCAGAAATAAAATCCACGACTATGGGCAATAGTTATGGTAGGTCCAGCCCAATGCTTAATTATAACACTAATGTTTATCACTCATATCAGCCAAATGAAAACAAGTTTCGAGGATTTATGCAGAAGTTTGGAAACTTCATACACAAAAATAAATGAAATACTATAACTGCAAATAGATATTAAAATGCAAAATGAATGTGGCTATAGATATTTATCCAGAGAACATTGTGGATAGTTTTTATAACATGACAGTGAATTTCTGTAGGGGCAGAATGTTGGTTATGATGTATATGTTTACCAACATACTATGTACTGTAAAGTTATTGTTCTGTGTGATAAAGTTAGTTGTTTAATTATACACAACTAGATGGAATGTCTCTATAAACACATGATTTTTAAATGGTAATGGTAAAAAAATGTAATTTAATTGTTTTCTTCAGACCAAAGATCTCCTTAAGTCTTAAATAGAAACGTCAGTGGAGAGATGGTATATGAATTTTAACCATTTATTCCAAAAAATATTTTTTAAAAAAGGATCCTAATACTATCATAAGTTCTTTATATGTCTCTACGGGATTTTCATATCTTCAAAGTAAGAGAAAATAAGACAAAACCTTTTCGTTTTTAATTGCCTTTGAATTCTACAGGTTAACTTGTTATATTTTATTAATGTTTTATTTTCCTGTGGAGTATATACAACTGGTTGGGGAGCAATGGTACAATTTTAAACTATATAGCTCAGCATATTTTTTTTTATTTTGCCTGAGGGTGTTTGCAAAGTATCAGCCTCATGTAGCACAGGTACATCACAGGAATTTGTTTTTCTTATCCTTTGAAAACCATACCAGATGTGCTTTGCTCTACTCATTCAGAGAGCCTGTACTTCACTCACTTGTCAGGTGCTGACCATTCATAGTCATTTCTTCCTTCAAACATATAGTAACCTAGCAGGAATTTGGAAAACCTAAATTATTCCTCTCCATTTTCTAATATAAAAAAACTTTTAGAAATGTAAATTTCTACATTTTTATCTTAGATTAGTATGACAATGCTTATGTGTTTTGCTTGCAAAAGTCTTTGGGTTTTTTTTGTTTGTTTGTTTTTTATGTTGTGCCAAATACAGTGTGACAGGACAATGTTTTCATAAGCGTGCCATGATGAAAATGAGGAGAAGTGATACCTGGGTTATTCTCCCATGACTCCATGGGGCTCGATTTGTAGGTTTTAAGTCTTCCTATATCTTAATTTGATGATGATACTAAAATCATAAGATACTCTTTGCCTTTCTTAGACTAATAAATAAAAGCTCTATATCCATTAAAGAAACTTTAACTTGGCTTAACTTCATCCACAAAGGACAAAATTCAAGAAACAGTGCATCATTTGGAAAGTGGAAAGTGTTCCTACAAACTTTAAATATAGTATTTAACATCTTATAAGTTGCTGCATGGGGCAATATTTTGTTGTTTTAAAAATCCAAGATACAATTAAATATTAATGTGTGTCATTAATCCAAATAATGGCATTAAGTATCTATGTCATTTAAATAATTTTTCATAGTATTTTAAATCTAGTCTAAGAAACATGATGGGAGAAAACATGACAGTAGGGAAAAGAAAACTTTACATTTATTGAACACTTACTCTAGATCAGGTCTTGAACCTAAACCTAAAGTCACCACAATATTTTGTGAGTACCGTTGCCCTCATTATTTATAGATGGCTGAAGTGATAGAGACATTGACATTCAGACAGGTAATGCACCAAGTCACATAGCTAATAATTAATGGTACTAAAGTGTCTATCACATTTATTTGCATCATAATACCTCTTAAATATGTTCAAATCCCGCCTTGCCCAAACTGTTGGGATTAAATGAAGAACGTTTATAATTCCTGACTTAACAGCAATCGACTAAAAAAGGTTTAGTTGAATTCCACCAGACAACAGAGACACACAGGGCTTATAGTAATCATAGTAGGCGAGATCAGGGAATTAAGATTGGTTTCTGAATGTAACCTAGCAGGCCTGTTTTAATTACTAGGCAGCCATTTTGATCCTCCTTCGGTTGACCTGTAATAGAGAAAGGAAAAAGGTACCCTTAGTGAGTTGTAAGCTGCTTCTGTGCTAGAGGAAGACTTCCATTAGGGTAAGAAGCTAGGCAGAGAATGGAACTCAGTGTTAAATATATTATCTTGTTAAATATTCACAATAACCCTGTGAAGTAAATACCTCCACTTGGCAAATAAGAAGGTAGCCTCAAAAAAGTTACATAACTTTTCAAGAGTTATACAGCTCTGAATTAGTAGAACTGGGGTTTAAACACAAAAGCCTGTATTTTTAATGCTATACCATACCATACCTTGCTGGTGTCTTATTCTTCTATGCTTGAGGAAACTTCTTTGAAAGTAGTCACTCTCTTTTGCTCTCTACAAGTTGCAGAAATATAACAGTAGCTGTGCAGCAATAGCGTTTTATAAATACATCCGGAATAGAATATTCAGTTTCACATCATTCATAAAAGTAGGTTTTAAAACTCTCATTATAACCTAGGGAATTCCCAAATATTATAGCGTGTGGTTTTATTGTTTTGGTAATCTGAGTGTAATAGACTGAAAGGTTTTCACAATTCCTAACAATTAATACAATATAAAAATAAAAAATAACAATATAAAAATAAAACTTAAAGGAGAACAATTATTTTTCTCAGTAAGGTAGCCTAGTACATTTATAAAAACTTTGAATTAAAAAAAAAACTCTTTAAAATGTGTATTTTATTATAATCAGATAAGAAATTCAGTTGTAATAAGAAAATTTTCTAATTGTTAGTGTATTACTTTTTAGTCAGGAAAATGTATGATCTTCATAGATTAGTGTCAGATTATTTTAAAAAAAAAAACACTAGATGAGTGAGAGAGAGTAAATGACAGAGATTTTTAATTTTGCTATTCAAAAAATTTACTTCTATAATCTGAGCCATAGTCCTTACTTGAGAACTCACAGTTAACCAAAACAGATTTCTTTAATATAGTAACCATTCTTTGTGTTATATGGGACATCTTTCAGAGTTAAGGGGATTGTGGGCTAATTGTCATTAGGTAGCTCTGAAATCCAAAGTCTTGAAAATTTAAAGCAGTGTAACTTCAAAGCTGAAATTACATGAAGATTAGAGTTTAAATCATGTTTAATTATAAGCAAAAGTGTGTTGCCTTTTTGAACAGCAACTGTCATCATTTCTGAAAGCATACATAGCTTTTAAAAAATTCCTGAGTTCTTCCTCTCCCTAGTGAAATTAGGAAGTGCAGTGTGCCTTATTTTGTCCACTTATGTTGAGTAGGTTAGGCTTTTGCAAGGCAGGTTTATCCTCCTCTATCTTTTTTCTTTGATTATTTTATATTTTTTTCCCTCCAGAAATATCTCCATGTCAGAATCTGTACATAGTAACTTTCCAAAGCTTCTGTGGCTGAGAAACTCCTCAAGGTTAAAACTGAGTAAGCACATACTACTTCAAATAATTTTCTCAGAGTTTAAGTTTTAAACAGACACTCCAAATTTCATGGATGTATTTATTTCAAGCAATACACATTTTCGTTTCCTCCCAAATTAATGTTGGTGGAAAGATAATGTCAAGTAAACATACTTTTGTAGTAAAGTTCGGTGAGGTAATTTTTACTCTCTACATAGTACATTAGTTTGTAAGCAGAAACTCAAAAAATATAGGCATAATTTCAAAATCGTTCTAGGCAGATAGGTTTAGAATAGTTTAAGTGCCTGTATTCTGAACACATTGATATCCATCTTTTAAAACAATTGGAATTACCCCCAATTCTGATGTGATGTACTGAGGTATGGTTACGTTTTGGTAGTCTCATTTGTGGAAGCAAATATCTTGTTTAATCAAGATGACATCTAGTGTGATCTAAGCAGGAAGAAGGTTGAACTCTGACTTCATTCAACTTTAACTTTTCTCAAGATTATCCAGTTATTCAACTATTATTCCAGAGCTATTTGCCTTTCGTGAATATCAGTTGATTCTTAATGTGTCTATGGCTAAGGGATATAAAGTAGAATCATTGTTTCACGGTAACTATGTGTGATGCTGTTTTTTAAAAAAATGTTTATTATAATATTCAGTTTGGTTCTCGAATATTTAAAATAAAAAGAATGAAATTATAAACCAAAAAGTCAATTTTTTACAATCAATGTTAGAAAAAATATTCTTCCAAATTAACTCTTGTTTTAGATTTAATAAGTAAATATTAAATAATTTTGTACAAACATCAATATATTGTAAGTTGTTTTATTTTTATCGTCATACCCTGGATTTTTCCATATAAGCTCATGTTTTCACTAAGTTATTACATAATGAATTTAGATTTTTACACATTTTAAGTATTTCTCTATAAATTTTAAGACTATGTCTTAAATACTCTAAGATTTATTTGATTATCAGTTATATTTTATATAATAATTTGTATTTGATATCCAGTGACAATATTCTTCCCTTAATATCATGTACACTCACTATCTTCATTTCTATTTCTGGATTATAGTAGTTATTATAAGTAACTTGCGACTTTGAAAAATAAAGAATTAAAAATTGGTAGCTGAGTTTTGTATAACTGTGGCATTTAATTTGAGTAAAATATTCTAAAGGAAATTTATATTAGATTAATTAGTGATATTAACCAAACTCTGAAAGTTATTTAAAACTTAAAATGCATTTTCCTTAGGAAAAAAAAAAAATTATCTTATATTGTAGATTAAGATACAATTAGAATTCTGTGTATTGAAAATTAAATGGTGTTTTTGTAAAGACAAATCTGATTTTTAGGTAGGTAAGTATAGTTTAAACAAGTTAAAAACAGTTTTTGATTTTTTTACTTATCGTACATGCCAATGTTTAAGAAAAACCTGGTTTGGTGGGAGAGTAAGGGAAACATAAGCTTTTACTTTTGTGGCCATCCTAATGGAAACTTTTGAATAGGCTCAATTGATTGAAGGAGTCAAAGATCACCCTGAGTAATTGGACTAGATAAAGATAGAAGGGCATTAAAAGAAATAAGTGTGTACCTACCTGCCTGGGAAAAGAATCACGCGAGGTGGAATTACCTGAACTAAAAGCAGTAAGAAACAAAAGTAAGGGATATATAGAGAAAACTCTTGAGTTAAAGAAAAGTGTACGTGTCAAATTGGACTTTTCTCCCATAGTAATTGGTTTTAACAATCTAGCTCATTTAACACTCCTACTGGGAACCTACTTTGTTCAAAGTATGCAGATTATAGTAGACTTTTGATGTAAGAGAAAAAGAGAA